AAAAATATTTAAAAAGTATACTTAGTTATTTTTAAACATTTAACATTAAATAATAATTATTAACTACTATATAACTAAATGATTTTATTAATTAAAATTCATTATCTACAATTGCCTGGCTACTATTCACAAACTGCTATATGTTATCCTTATTTACTATTTCTGCTGCCCACCACTTGCTGGTTTTTAATGCCAATACCAAACAGGCCTCAAGGGCCACTTTACTAGATGAATTTACAGAACAAAATACGATTCCCCCAGCGGGTCACAACTAAGCAAGCAGCTCTGCTCTTCAATGGCGGAACCCAAAACAAAATACGATCGCCAGCTTAGGTAACTACTCGTCAATTCACGTTTCTTCCCTTATTTTGTTTTTCTTTCTATATTTCTTTTCTTTTCTTTTCTTTTCCTTTCTGCGTTTCTGAAAAGTGTCTGAATTTATCTTGCACTATAGCAAAGGTGCCCTAATAGTAGTCAATATTTAGTGCTGAGGAACTGTTAAGCAGTCGAGCGTTGTGAGTGAGTGCGTTCCATCTCTTTTCCTTTTCCATTTTTTGAAAACTATCTCAAGTTATTATGATGCTTGGTAGCTTTCTGGGGTTTTGGAAAATTTTCAAGCCTAGGAATGTAGTGAGCTCTTATGTTTGTAAGGAGAGCTGTGTGGATATAAAGTTGAAGTGGTTTTCATATTATGATGCTTCGTGGGTTTTGTCCAAATCCGTGTTTGAGATGTAAAAGTGAAGCAAGCCCTTTGATTTTATTTGGAGTGGGTTCTTGTTTTTGGTGCTATTGTCAATTTTATTTCATTTTCAAACTTTCAGGATTTGGGGTGAACAAGGGCAGGCAGCCCTTGAAAAAGCCAGCATTTGTTTACTTAATTGTGGACCTACTGGTTCTGAGACATTGAAAAATCTTGTTCTTGGTGGAGTTGGAAGCATCACTGTTGTTGATGGATCTAAAGTTGAAGTGGGGGATCTTGGAAATAATTTCATGGGTCTGTTTTTCTCCATCCTTTTATATCTATAATTTACTTTAATTTCCTGGTTCTTATCTTGTTTTTGATGTTCATAGTGGATGAATCAAGTGTTGGACAACCAAAGGCCAAGACTGTTTGTTCATTTCTACAAGAGCTAAATGATGCTGTTAAAGCAAAGTTTATTGAAGAGCATCCAGAGACACTTATTGACACAAATCCTTCATTCTTTTCTCAGTTTACTTTGGTTGTAGCTACTCAGGTATGGGATAGTGCCTTTTCTTGAGTACTTGCTTTGTAGAAATTGAGCTTTCAATGTAAAAGTAGGTTAGACTTCCCTTGAGTTTTTTCTTTCACTGTTGGGTATACCTTCTTAATATGCTTTATTGTTTCTAACAATAAGAATCTTAATTTCACCTTCAGCTGGTGGAGGAATCAATGGTGAAACTTGATAGAATCTGTAGAGAAGCAAATGTGATGTTGATTTTTGCTCGCTCCTATGGCCTTACTGGTTTAGTTCGAATCAGTGTGAAGGTAATTTGTATGTTCATTATTGAAAATTTTTTAAGCTTCTCAGATACAGGACATGTGGTACTGTTTTTATGATGTTTGCATACTGGGTTGGTTTCATATCTGAACCAGTTATTTCCTTCATTCAACAACCATAGACATGTGATAGATTTAACTTGATATGAATATGAAAATTATCTGGATTTTCTTGTGAATTCCCTGGAGGAAAGAAGAAGTGGATGGTTGTTTTTCTTTATGAATTTGAATTAGAACGATGGAAAGTTGAAGAAAATCTTAATATACGTTGACTCTCTTTTCATGTTTACAACAGGAACATACTGTGGTTGAGTCAAAGCCTGATCACTTTTTAGATGACCTTCGGCTGAATAACCCATGGCCTGAGCTTGTGAGGTGCAGAAATTTTGTTCTTTCTCTTTGGTTCTCAAAGAAAAATCTATCTGTATTGCCTTCATGCTTCATCATTGTGTGTTAATTTTCTTTTTGGTTATTAGGGCTTAGAGAAAGCATTGAGGTT